CTGTCAAAGTGTTATTTGAACTTTACCACGAAGTTGCACAAGGGGCTAGGTCATTGCGCTTCAAGTAGGCCCGGTGAGGGAAAGTTTTGCGTTTCGTATGCTTATTAGGTTTTTGAGACAAAGGAGGCCTACCAGCAGGGGAATTTATCCCACCCCTGCAAAGTAGCATCGCTGATGTGGAGATACGTTTGGTAGTTTCATACATAGATGGGGTTTGTTAGAGCCCTATTGCACGTTAGCTGCGATACCAACCGGCAGTGTGATTTCGGGGGTTCTTGGTTGGGAGCAAGCCTGGCAGAGACCGATGACTCAGATGACTAAATAAGCTCTGGGACACTCACTTTGCATGTATTTGCCTTATTTTCCATGATGGTGATGACTGTGAAAACTATCTGCTCCCCCCAACCGGTCGAGGCAGAACCCACCGAGAGCCAGGGTCTGTCGGAGGTTTCTTCCTTGGAGGTTTTTCCTCCCCGCCGTCGCCAAGTCCTTGCTCAAGGGGGATTTGTTGGGTGTTTTTCTGGTGATAATAATGTTAAGTTCTAGACCTTACTTTGTAAAATGTTTTGTGATTTTTGTTATTTGGTGCTATACAAATTAAATTCAAGTGTACAGGTTGAAAGCATGCAGAATTATGTTAATGAACCGTCAGATATTCAGCACATTTTGTGTGTAAAACCTTAATTCATAACAATTGTAATTGAAATGTAGTGAAAGCTACAAATGTGAAGCTGAAGCATGTCTCTGCAGACTTTATTGATGGACGGGGTCAATGCTGAGGTCAGTGTTTCAGATTCTGGAGTCAGAAGTTGTTGTTCGGGGTTCTTCTCTTCAGCACCAAGTAGAGCACATGTTGTTTCACTTTATAAGCTTGTCTTTTTCTGATAAGTGACCAAACTCACTTCAGAAATCCAGCAGGTTAATTTTGCTTTTATAAGAACAAGTATAACATTCAATATACTGTATAATTCAAGCCGCACTAACTTTAATGTAACATCTTTTGGTTAAGTAAATGTAGTAATGCATTAAGTTGGGTTTATTTCAATAAACATCGATAAGTTTAGGCTGCTGCTAGCTGTCATTCCGCTTCTTTGGCCACGTGTAATATTAACCTGTATACAAAGTCACCAAACTCTGGTTGTGTGTCTTTGTTAGAAACAAACGTGTATCATGAAACTAATGATTTCTTGAATATTAACTTCTCATGGTAATTTTGCCTTCAGTAGAAAGACCTTTTACTAAATATAATCCTTAATATTAGGTTTCTGCTGCTTTGTCATCTGTTAAAGATTTATTTTCAGCTACAATGTTTGCTTGTATTTCCATATAGCCATCATAGACTGATATGTTAATCTTACCTTAATGTTTAAAAAAAAAAAAAACCATGGAGCTACCAGTGTGCAGAGCTTCTGATGGTACCCCCCGGAGTCATCAGTCTTAATAACATGACTCTTGGAGCTTTAAAGTGACTATAAAATTCTGAGTTTTTTTCATTCTCCAGGCATTACAGTTGCTGTTATTACAGTTTACAGTTCTTAAACAAAAAGCTAAAGGCAACAGTTAAAAATGGAGCACAATTTCATCTTTGGTCACACATTAAATACAGTCAAAAGAACAGCAAAAAGACAATTGATAAATTGGAGATAAGGTCTCTAGTTTTTGGTGAATGCTTCATATAATCTAAATCTTTTGTATGGTAAAAACAGTTGTCACAGTATAGTAGCCTACTTTGTTAATATTACTTTTGAGGTTTTGTTTTTGTCAATGCCTCTCGTGTGCCGTCTGTCAGATACTATTTTCGAGATTTTTCTATTATAACATGTGCAGCCAGACAAAGCAGAGGTTTGGCCATGCGAGATTAGAAAAAGAGCTTGTGTGTACTATAGATACATAAAGCTAGATACCGGACTGAAACATGGCACCTATTCTGTGCAATTAAATTTGCTCACCTGCCACATTTATCCAGCTCGTTGGTGCCAGAAGCCCAGAAAAGCTTTGTTTTTATGTATATGTAGTATATATTCTACATATACATACAAATGTGTATATACTGTACATGTGCATCATAGCCAGAATATACATTTACTTTGCTATAACAGATTATGGTATGTGATTTTGTCACAGTAGTCACAAATAAAGGCACTTCACCGATATATGTATTGTAAATTTAACTATGATATCTGACACATGCAAAAACTAACAACCAGAAAAAGTATAGGTGAAACTGATGTTAGATGACTCAGCATCCACACAATTTATCAACCTTCTTTTTCTTCCTCTTCTGCTCTTAGAGGTCTAATTTTAAATGTAGAACAGTTACTTGCAGCTGAGTATTTTTACATTGTGGTATTTATAAATTTACTTAATACAGGATCTGATTACTTCTACCATTATATATTGGCTTTGCTATCATTTCTGTTTGAACATTTGGTAGGATGCTACACAGCTTTTTCTTTCTTTTTTGGCATTTAGAGCAAACAAACAGAACATCTGGCATTGATTTGATTTGCAATCACTGTCTAAGCATCTTTATTGCTTTAAAAATTATCATTAGATGCAGTATACTGTATTCTTGCATAATAACATGCAAACTATTTAAAAATACTTTTAAAAGAATGCATAGTGTGGCAGATGTAGACTGATTTAATCTCAGAGCACAGATGATCACTTGAGAGTTGCTTTTAAAAGGGACTTTTACACTTCTGAGTAGGAGTAAGTCACTATTCACACTTAATGAAGAACATTTTACTCTTAAGTTGCTACTCCAGTGGCCTAATCATTAGATGTTTGATAAATACAAGCCCAGTTAGGTGTCTAAATACAAGTTTGTGGTAAAGGTTTGCTCTGAATTGTGTCTATAGTAAGACTTTTTTCAAGATAAAAAACATGGCCCTTCACTCCATCAGCCTCCTGGAAACACATTCTGCCTAGTTTCTTGGGCCTTGGAAGACAGCTGACAATGTCCTCAGCGCTGTGTACCAGGTTACTCAGCCCTTTCTTCTTATTGCACAACATTGTTAGGAAACCACACATTATGAGTCATGTTTTCTCCTAGCCTGGGTGGCTGGAGGAAAACTGGTACCTTTTTAGGCAGCTAACTTTTTGGTTTTAAAACTGGCCAGTTTTTATTTGTGTATAGTCCTGCATTTTACCAATCTATGGGCAAGATTAAGACCAGCATAAAACTACAGACCAGTTTAACCTATCATTGTGAAACTGGTTCAGAGACTACTACCTCTACTTCAGTTCTGTAAGTCTTGTAGTTGGATTGACTACATGATGAGTGTACACTAGGTGGTGATATCGTACCAATAGTTGTGCAATCACTGTGGTCATACTTTGTGTCCTTTATGCTGAAGACATTCACAATACAGCTTGGCAGTGCTGTTGCTACTTTTACATTTTTAGATTAATTTTGTACCACAGTCAGGGAGAACCTAAACAGCACTGATTCTTTCAAACACATTTATTAAAACAAGTCTTTATGCCAAACATCCATCCTTTGAGGAACAGTTGTTTGCATCTAATAAAAGCAGAAAATGCACTTAGCAGTTACAGTACCTCACACTTGATTCTACTGAGCAAACTGTTTGTCTCAGGTTGGCTCCTTCTTTCTATTATAATCTGAACTGCAGATCACTACTGACTGAATTTGACATAAAATAAGGTGATAAAACATCACATTTTTTGTCTGTTACAACCAGAGACTGTGGCACAGGAACAAAATATTCAGATAGATGTTTGGATCACTAATGCTTTAACTGAAGCAACAGAGAAATGGCTATCAGCATATCTGCATGTGTTGCTCATTTGTTTTCCAGTAATCCTGCTACAAGCCTACAGCACGAGGTCTGTTTTTTTTGTGTTTTTATTTTCTACAGATGTTGGGAACAGGGGGGATGTGGAAACAAATTAAAAATAACAACTCTAACCAACATGGAGGTTTTGTGTATGCACCCAAAGACTTCAAATTATTCAAGCTGACAGGATGTGGCCAACGTTCAAATTGAATGTTGAATGCTTTCCACAGTCCAAATCACGTGCATCCATCTACGCTTTGATTTATGCTCTACTGATAGAGATTGTGTTTGTCTTTTCCATAACACCAGGATTAATTTTGCCATCTGTTCAACACCGTGTACTGTTTCTCTTTCTCACATACTGTATACCATAGCATGCACATGTATGCGACCGTGTGCTTGTACTACAATAAAAGGAATAAGCCACAGTAAGGACTGTTAGCTGTAAGTGTACAGTTATTTTAAGTGTGCCAACGCCCTCAAACCCTGATCTGGTGTGTAATAAAATAAAAGTGAGCATCCCTTCACTAATCTGCTTAGAATCAGCATCTGCCTTCTCCTTTCTCTTTCTGTCAGTGGCCCTGA